ATATTTTGATCGTAATGCTTCAAAACATTTACGATATCGTAATTCTACAGAATATTTTGATCGTAATGCTTCGGAACATTTACGATCACGTATTATTACAGAATATTTTGATCGTAATGCTTCAGAATATTTATGATCACGTATTATTACAGAATATTTCGATCGTAATATTTCGAAACATTTACGATCACGTATTATTATAGAATATTTTGATTGTAATGCTTCAGAACATTTACGATCACGTATTATTACGGAATATTTCGATCGTAATATTTTGAAATATTTACGATCACGTATTATTACGGAATATTTTGATCATAATGCTTCAGAACATTTACGATATCGTAATTCTACAGAATATTTCGATCGTAATGCTTCAGAACATTTATGATCACATATTATTTCAGAATATTTCAATCGTAATGCTTCGGAATATTTACGATCACGTATTATTACGGAATATTTTGACCGTAATATTTCGAAATATTTGCGATCACGTATTATTACGGAATATTTTGACCGTAATGCTTCAGAACATTTACGATCATGTATTATTTTGGAATATTTCGATCGTAATGCTTCGGAACATTTACAATCCCGTATTATTTTGGAATATTTTGATCGTAAAATTACGTAGATTTATGGAAATCTGTAAATCTACAGAACATTATGCCGTAAATGTACGTAATTTTACGAAAATCCGTAAACTTACGGAACATTATGCCGTGTTTAAATTCCTGATGTGGTATATTATACTTTTACCTTTAGTAATAGACTGAATAGTTCTTAGATTGTCATCATTTTCTATAATTTGATTTCTTACATTGAGTTCTCACATTGAGACCTTTAATATTTGCAATTGAGTACCATCATACATTAAAATTTTAGTTCTTTTTGCAAAAATACTTACCAACATCTATAACCCACCGTTACTTTAATAAAGCAAATTGTATAAGAATATGAATCAGATTGAGTTTGTGCAATATTACGTAGCAAATAAACTAATGATTTAACGACATTTGTTTCTTAGTTGATCTTAAAGTTTTTAGTTTTTGTTTTACCAGTTTTTCACAACAGAATTGCAAATGAGCTTTAATATCAGTTGCAACATTTTTTTAATTAAATGTTAATGAGATTCTATTCTGTAATTTCTTTCAGTTCAACCACTTCAGTAATATTTTTAGAAATAACAATATGCTAAATTAAGTACTAATATAATCATATATATGCTAATGACCAATTTATTAATTGCAGCAAGATATATAAAGTAAATATTACAAAATCATTACATCATTTCAAATCTGTGTAATACTAAAATTTATAATAATCAGTAAAGTTTATCTAAGCCACTTTTAGGCAGTGATTCTATTAGTTAATTAATTTAAAAAGGAAAAAATCATAACAATTTAATGTAGTATTTCCTTTTTTAGGTTTAATTTATCTATATATAGTAGCATAGCGAACATCTCTATTTTATCACAAATTTGCCAATCATTTGCCAATCATTTATTTGATCTTATCATATAATACAAATAAATTATTTTCAATATTCTCATTATTATTATCTTCACTTAAACTATTATCATCTTCATCTTCAATTAAAAGTTTTTCATTATTTTTTAATGATATAAATAAGTTTTTTTATTAGAAATATATTAATAACAAATAATTGGCTAATTTCTCTATAAGCAAAAAACCTGCATTATGGGTTAAAACCTTGCATTGTTTTTTTTACAGATTATATATAATTAAAGGAATGTTCATGCAAAATTTCAAGTTTCAGTTTTGCATATTCAGCTTCGATCTTCAATTTTTATTCCAAAATTTCAAATTATCACATATTAATAATTTTGCATATAAAAATTAAAAATTATATAAATTATTTAATTTAAAGTTATACAACAATAAAGGTAGTATATTTTATTTTTTTCTTATTTAGGCATTTACTTTGCCTTGCACTTTTTTATAATTTAATCATTTTTTAATAAAATAAAACTTGTAATTGGCAAATGATCGTCAAAGTGATATAAAGCATGTTCACTATGCTATATATAGTAGGATTTTTAAAAATTTTCAATTATAAATTTTACTTTAGGTTTCTGGTGATCTATCTTATAAATAAGCAGGATCCTGATAAGACATGTAACAGAATATTACATATACATTTATTTTTTTAAGTATTCATAAATATAAGAATTATTAACTTTCATCCTATTATATATTGACATTATATAATAGTTATTTTATATTAAAAATATGTAATGTAATTTTTTTACTTGATGTACTGTAAATTTAATATAAATAATTATATAATAATAGAACCCTGCTTATTTCTAATAAAGATTTCTGAAAAAAATTTTAAATTTACTAGTAATTTTACCAGCAAATCCTATTGGTTAATTGATCTAAAAAGGAAAAAAATCATAACAATTTAATGTAACATTTCTTTTTTAAGGTATAATTTATCTATATATAGTAAGATCTTCAAAAATAATTTTACTTTGGGTTTTCGGTAACCTAAAGTGAGGACCTATAACAATAGGGTCCAATAGAATTTTACTCATGCTAGAATTTTATCATCTATTTAAGACTATCACTTATTAATTAACCCTATTACTTGTTTGATCTGTAAAATACTTTCATAAATAGCTGTGTTTAAATATGCCACCTCTATTATATAGTGAAGTAGTTAAAAAGAATAAAAAAGAATACAAAAAAAAATACGAAAAAGAGTATGAGAACGAGAAAAAACATGAAAAGGAGTTGTATAGTAAAGAATGTGTTGCCCAGGGTATTAACTTTGTTGTCAATCAAGCAAGTAGGAGATTGAAAGTCTCAAATGTTTATGAAAAATTTACCTGTTATTTAGCAACTATATTGGCAAGAGATAAAGAGGTAGTTGCAGTGTGGTTGAAAAATATATCAGATCAGTGCTATGAAATTTATCTTTCTAAGAACTTTGATTGGCTTGACAAAGATGTTGAGTATATTAATAATATTATGAAATATCTGAAAAATATATCAAAAAATGCTCCTATAATATCAAATGATAATGAATCTGATCTTTTTAAGGAAGTGTTGTCATACTGCTCTAAAAAAATAAAATCTAGATTGGATAAACTTAAGAAAGATATTGAAAATAGTGATGACAGAGACATTAAATCTTTCAGAGATTTTTTTTCAGCTATGGTTGATGATACAAGTAATACAGAATTGATTAAGATATCTCAAGCTTGTAACAAGTATTATGTGCAACTTGAAGATAAGTCTTACATCTCCAAAAAATTTTTAGGACATATTAGGAAAGTGGGGTCTTATAATACGTCTATTAAAGGTATCATAAAATGTGCACGTGAGATACAATATAAATCACTATTCTCTAACATTAAAGTAGTTAAAGTAAAGCCTTATATCATAAATAATCAGCCCATATATTCGTGGAAAAATATCATCAAAAGGTTTATTGATGAAGGCAAATATAAATGTTTCATGAAGAGGTGTTTGAAAAAGCCTAAAGTAATGGAAAGAATCAATAAAGTATATACCGATAATGCCACATATACTTGCCGCCCATATAAATGGGATTGGGAGAATCCCATATCCCATCCCACCCATATCCCATCCCATATCCCATTTATCCCATCCCATTTGTCATAATCCCATTCCAATCCCAAATCCCATTCCCATTCCAATCCCATATCCCATATCCCATCCCATATCCCATTAATCTTATACATGTATATTGTGTAACCTTGCTCCCATTGGTCTATATATCACGTGATGTTACACAAAATTCCAAAAAAGGAAAATTTTCTTCCCACAAAAAATGGGAGATTTGGTTTCACATGCATTCCGAAAAAGGAAATTTTTATGCCGATCATATAATTCCGGCCAGAATTACAGCTCTAGTATTACGGTCCTTTTTCAAATTAGTTTTTTGCGATTTTCTCAATATCCAGTGATCCAATTTTGATAAACTTTTTTTTAATTTGTAGTTAATATTAAGCTCTATAAAATAAAAATATTTCTTGCAAGAAATAATAAAAAAAAAAGAGCAGATTAGGTTAATTTTTGCAAAAAGCCATTATGAATTCTATAATAGATGTCTGAGGTCCTGTAATATCAATTAAATAAGAAATATTTGGAATTAATTTTTTATTGTTGCATTTGCCTTTTTATTATAAAAAAACATTACAAAATTATAAATTTTTTATAACAAAAATGTAATATTTTAACTTTATTTTAACCTATCTATTAAAATAATAAAAAATTTATCTATAAAATAATAAATAATAATTAATTAACATCAAATGCTTAGTATTTAATTAAAATGGCTTGTTATTCAATAAAAATGGATTTAGTTTTCTAATTTTTTTAATTTAAATTTAAATTATTAGCATATACAGTATAAGATATAATATCTTTAAAGATATTTATTTATAATTTTTTGTATATTTAATTATTTGTAAAGTATTAACCTATTAAGCATTCATATTATTATCATATAATCTGTAATTAATCAATTCTTAGATTAAAGAGTATTATATTTGAAAAAATTTTATGTTAAAAAAAAAGGAGTTTGCTATTTATCGCCGAAGTCACGTAATTTTTAATTTTGGCCGGAATTAAGTGATCGACATAAAATTTCCTTTTTTGGAGTATTGTGTAACTCATTTCCCCGTTTTTGATGAGAATCAAAATTTCCTTTTTTGGATTGTGTAACGATACTCAAGTGCCCAAAAAGGAAAATTTGGCCGGAATTATAAAATTTGGCTGAAATTATAGGAAATGGGATTTGGGATGGGATTTGGGATTTGGGATGGGATTGGGATTGGGATTTGGGATTGGAATGGGAATGGGATTTGGGATTTGGGATGGAATGGGATGGGATGGGATGGGACTCCCATCCCATTTAAATGGGCGGCAAGTATAATGCCACACAACAACAACTTGATGGTGATGACGTTACAAAACGTATATACTTACATGCGGAAATGAACATATTGGCCTCAATTATCGACAATAAAATTAAAAGTAGGGTGTTTATAGCAGTGTCAAAGAGATGTTGTTACTTGTGCGAACATTTTATTAAATTTGCAATAAAACAAGGATATAATATCGTCGTCACCGGGGAACATGGAAAAATATATGGTAGTTGGGTACTTCCGCATGTAAAGGATAACGACTTCAAGGCCAGATTCTTGACATATATACTAAAAAATCTTGATAAAATCATAGAGAAAAACCTAGACCACTATACCGATAATTTGCCAGCGGATTCTGACAGCGATGAAGATAGTCCAGATCCAGATGATGATGGTAATGAATTTATGGATAAATATGAACAAAGTCATATGGATCTTGAGAAGTATACCCTACTATAACCTTAATATATTTTTTTAACAAGGCTGCGTGAAATTTAGAAAATAATCAATATGTGCAATTTTCAATTTGTGAGCTATACTTTTTTTATATAAACATTATAATTAGGGAACAGATTTGGAGAGAAAAGTGTACTATCAATAAAGCATAAAAGTTCAAAGCGAAACTTTTTTTTCTTGCAAATGAATGTAGAAAGTTAGCTTAAATCGAGTTCTAACCCATAAAATGAGAGTTTTCATACTATCTAATACAACTTTTCGCTTATCTACTACTACGCTTTCGTTTCTAGTCCACATATGATATAAAAATTATATTAACGCAAGAGATAAAGTGATTTTGGATATATCTGTGGACAAAATATCTCGACCACTCAACAGATCTATCTCATTTTAGGATTTTGATCGTTGATGACATTTCGTCACGATCAGCGTCATGTGTAAATAATTTATCTGAACGGCGACTGTGCAAAGCTTCGTCTTTTTTTTCGAACAGTAGGATGATTGTGACATTTTGTCACGGTTTTTCAATAACCTAAAATTTCGCAGAGCTCGCCTTAAGCCCAGTCTCAGCATGTTAATAATAAAAATCATGTGACCGCGTGAAAAAATTCACGCACTAAAAAAATTTTTTTATTATTACAGCAAAAATAAATACAAAGGTTTGGGGCTTGCCCTGGTACATGACTAAATTCTATCCTATGGCCCGCACGCTCATCCCCTAATAAAATTTTTCGTCCTTACTAGAGAACCATCAACTTCTCAAACCTTTTTAACACCTCGGCGAAGTTCCGCATCATCATTCATTATTTCTCGATAAGTACTATGTGATAGTTATCTTTCGAGCAATAAATCCTTTCCGGTGTATACATGAGGAAGTACCAGTCCGAGGCTAAACAAAGGAAGACATGAGTTAGTATATACAAACGATTGATAAAAAAATCATACAAGGACCGAAAAGTTCTACCCGTGGTAAATGCTATGGATGCTTTCCTCTTTCTCATGTTTTTATGGTGGGAGCTTTCAAGTTGCATTATGTTCTGCATGAATCCAGCCACTAAATCCTTTTGTTTTCCCTCGATTATGGCTATTAACACCTCATTGACGACATCTATGACTTTCTTGATCGCGTATCGACTCGGCCTGATGCCTTCGTCTACAACTTCGAACCGGGGTCCACCGGTCCAGGGTAATTCCTTTGCCGAACCTATAATTCCCATCCTGCGTTTTATCTCTGTTATACACTGCTTTAGCAGGTCCTCCTTTCATGCCATAATCTCGAAAATCTTTGCTTGGTCATTTCAAGGAAGTTCGAACCATTAATCTCTTCTAAAATTTTTGAGAGCTGTCTCGCTAAGCCTTAAGTTCTGGTTCTTCAAAAACGAGATAGGTTCAGCCGTGCCATATTTTTTAACATCGTTCGCTAGCGTGACCGTCTCATTTCCAACAGCAGTGGTATAATAAAATTATCAAATATAAAAAATAAATAGAATAAAATAAATATTAAAATCACGCGTCAGGCGCGAAATATTTCATCACATGATTAAACTGAAATTATGACTAAACTGAAAAATATATCACAATCCGTAATCCGTGCAGATACACGAATGATGGATACACAGATTCAAACTCTAATTAAAAATTATCTCAATTAGTAGTACCCCTACCTGATTGAAATCTGATTGGCTAAAAAAATATTACTATTAAATATTAAATATTATATATAATTAAGGATTTTTTTTTTATTGCTACGGCAATATATCGCGAACATTCTTATCCTGGGCCACGGTCCGGATGCTTATCCTGGACCAGCAAATCTAATTGGATAAGATTGTTTTGTGTCTTTAAAAAAACAATTAAAAAAAAGTTACAAAATGCCTTTTTTTAAAAGCATTTAATACTACCGTTTTAAAGTAATATGTTATTTAAAATTTGTATTTTGGTATGCATTTTATTAAACTTTATTAATAAATAAGTAAAATTCATATATAACTTTAAAAAAAAGGTCTTTACATTATTTTTTACTGTAATTTTATTATTAAAATTATTTCAACGTTAATATCAAAACAAAAGTACAAAGTAATATTATATTAGCTTTAAAAGTAATGTTATAAATGTGTAATTTACTTAACCCCAAAACTTAAAAAAAAAAAACACTTGATTTCCAGAATAATATTAATATATCATAAAACTCTTCAAAAAGAAAATAAAAAACATTTAGCATTATCATAAAACTACAATAAATACAATTAAAATTAAAATATACAAGCTTACACTGGTAAAAAAATAATTTATCCTACACATATCTTACACATATTGGGTACTTAAAATGTAGAAAATCATACACAAATAATACACATATCATACACATATTGGGTACTAATATATATATCATACATATATCAGGTACCTGATAGGTATACTATATATATAAGTACCCGATATGTGTATGATATGTGTATTATTTGTGTATGATTTTCTACATTTTGAGTACCCGATATATGTAAGATATGTGTAGGATATGTGTAGGATAGACCATTTTTTTACCAGTGTTAAATGAAATATGAAATACTAAATACTAACATAGTACCACAAAAAAGAATAGAGAAAGAGTGAAAGATAGGAAAAGTGAGAGATAAAATAAATTATGCCAGAGCTATGTAATAAAAGTGCTGATTAGCCAATCAAAAGTTGACTGATCCAGAATAAGCATTTGGACCAGTGGATCAGGTTAAGGATGGCCATATATCGCTAGTCCTCAAATGTTATGTGTTTAGACTATTATAATGTGATTAGTTTATCATTATTTTTATTATAGCAAAGTAATAACTATACAAATTAATTATAAATTCGTGATCCGTTTCCAAACCAGTGAAATTTACTAATACATTTTGGGGAATTATTTTGCAAATTAATTTAGTAAAAAATTCAAATAAGAGCAATAGATATAGTACGCAGGAAATGTGAAATGAACTTACAAATTATTAGAGTAGAAGAACTGACATTCCAAAAATATTAACTATTCAAAATTACTAGATACACCGCTCAATATAAGCAAAATATAGTACGATAAGTTAGACAACCTGTGTTTAATAGAAATAAATAATTTTAATACTTTTTTTGTTTTTTCTTGTTTATAACCTTTAAATAAATTATTTACCAGCATATAAATAATATTTTAATAAAAAAATATCAATTTTGTGATTGTCCTACCTCTTGTATTGAATAATTATGGCATTTTTAAAGGTAGGAATCTAGCGTCGCTAAAGAAAAAATTTTTTAACTAATTGTTCAATGTAAATATTTTTGATGGATCTTTGATTCCCTCGGTTTTAAGCAATTGGTTACACTATTTTTCAGCCAGGTTAAAATACAAATTTGGCTGGTTACTTTTTAAGCAATATCGCCAATTTGTATAACAACGTAACCTTAAATGGCAAGTATATGTTGATCAAATTTGTGATATTAATATTTAACGATGCAAATTTATCATTCAATATACTCAGAACATTATTATATAATACTTAAAAAAAAATTCTGGGCAAATCAGCTCAAAAGCCAATTAAGGGATAATTAATTTGTAAAACCAGTTCCCTGAAATTTATTAGTAGTTTTCACTGGTTCAGGGACGGATTACAAATTAACAATTATTAACATATTACTATTATCTTTTTATTGATACATTTTTTTGATTAATACATTTTTTCTATTGATACATTATTTCTATTCATGCATTCTAATTAATTATTCCCAATGTTAAATTTCTTGTTCCTTCATCCAAGACAAATGAGTTAAAGTATTATCTTCATTCCAACTACAAAATATAAGCCAACGAGAATAAATTTCCTTTTGACTATCAAGCCAATTAGAAAGTTTAGCTGCATTAATTAATAATGATTCCTTTGTAGATCGAAATCTTTGAATAGTGTTGTAAAGTTCTCGTGAATAAAGTGGGTGGGTTGGATATTTCCTCACAAGGAATTTTCTTTATGCTGTAGCTTCAAACTTACAAGAAACTGTCATAAATTTGATATATTCGATCATTGAATCAGTAAATTTTCTAGAATCTTCAAATTCAACTATTGATACATCTAAAGAATGGTTATGTTGTTCAACTATCTTATTAATAATCACATATTTCTCAGGGTTTTTCAATTTTGGGCATGATGCATTGACAACAAATGGACAACCAATTTTTTTTGTAATAGTGTCTTTAGTACAATTTAATTCATAGATATGACTGTGAGAACATATATATGTGGATGATGGATGATACTTTCCAAACATACTACACGATCTTTAATAATCCGAAAGCCCTGCTGCTTAACCCACATAATAATAAAATTTTTACAAGCTTCCTATGATTCAAACTTCCTTTCTGAATACAATAATTGTCTGAAGCATGAGGACATTCTACTTCTACGCCATTCTAATGCAATGTCGTTCTGTACTATAGCCTAATCGATGAATGAAATTTTGTGTTACTTATAAATAAATGTAGTCACGTGTAATGTAGTCACTTGTTACATAACACGTGTTATCATTATCAAATTCACGTTAAATATATTTATACATTGATAAAAATAATATCATATGCAAATAAAACCTTTAAAGATAATTTTAATAAATACAGTCAACTCCCTCTATAGTCACTCCTGTTATAGTCACATTCTACTATATAGTCATACACTCATACCAGTTGAATGTTCAAAACACTTTATTATTAAAATCTATCCTATATAGTCACAATCTATCTATAGTCACTATCACACCTATCCTCAAAAATCTTATATTAAAAAGAACCGTTTATAATCACAGTTATATAAAGAATATATTAAATAACTTGGCATCTAATAATCGTACAAAGATGTACCATAGCTTGTTAGAATCGTCTCACTGAGACGAATCGAATGGTAGTAGTTTTATCCTTTTACGATCACTGGCTGATGAGTTATTCAACAAAATGTTAAGCATCGGCATTATTATATTCCTTGATTTACGTTTACTGCGCCATTTAACATTTTGCTAAATATCTCGGTACCTAGTGATTGTAAAAAGACGATTAATAGCTCGTTGGAATCG